TTTTTCTCTCATTGATCCATTAACATAAAATCATTTTCTAATTCAATGTTATAAGTAATTACAATTAGAATGGATTTATTAATTAATGTCTACTATAACCATTATTAATTAATCTTAACTATACAGCATTTCATATAATTTGTTCCATAACTCTTCATCTTTTGAAAGACAGAATTCAGAGTTACCTCTGAGGACAGTGGAACCCACAAAATCAGTTAGGAACTGTAGCTAGAACAAAGAAATAAAATTATTTTGCAATTCAAAATGAAGAGCTAAACAGATATTATAAATCTTCATATTTATCTTGCCTGATGCATTAAATTACTTAAGATTGGAAAAATCAATGCAGTCTTCAAATTCTACTTTGTACATTGCTTTTATTCATCAACTATCCAAGGAATATGATAATCTCAAATTTTTACTTATATAGATCTATAATATTTAGACAATACAAATTTTATCTACTTTCATTAAAATTTCTGCAAAATATAAAATCAAAAGAAAGTACTTTTTTAACCCAGAGTCTGAGAATTATTTGTAAGAGATTGATATTGATTAGAAAACAAAATACTACTTTAACATATGTCTGAGGAAAGTTATGAGAGCACTTTAAAACATCCACATTCCATGTATTTAACTAAAATGACATCCTTTGCTAACCACATTATTTATCTGTAACTAATTATTTTTCCAGGTGTTTACTGTTCTATCCAAAGACCAACATATCATGCTGACCCTTTTTCTAACATAATGGCAAGTGGCAAGAATAAATTTTACAGCATCCTGTTCAAAATAAGCAGAATTATAATGTGAGGATGCCTGATGTAACCTAAGCAGATATAATAAGCAGACACAGAGAGTTAGATATGGGATAAAGGCAAAGTTCTTTTAATGGATTCTAAAATGAAGCTGAATTAGAAGAGAATACAAAAGACATATAATTATGCCTAAATTTTACCTTTTCCCCAAATAAGTAACTCAGTTATTCCTTTCTACCGACAACTGATTTATGGCTCAATCCAATAATCTCCTACCTTTATACACAGTGGAAGGTGCTGGCTGCATAATGAAAAGGGCTTGAGACCATGTACCTCAGGAAAGGTGCTACATGATGTCTTTAAACATGTCACCTGGTCCATTAAAAATGACCTAGATAAGAAATGGGATATTCTGCAGAATCCTACAAATCTCTCCACTGCTCCTCCCTAGTTTCTATCTGTTACCTTGATTGGTTTAAGGAGTCACTGATACGTGGTTCCTGCTGCTACCTCGGTTTTTGGCATTTCCTATATGTCTCTTGATAATCAAAATGAGGAACTCGCCATGACGCACCTAAAACTCTACTGGTTCTCTCACTGCCTTCTTCCCACAGTCCTTCTGTACCAGTCCCATATTATACATTGTCTGACAACTATGTCTGGTGTTTTCTTTGATCTATGTTAACATATGTATCTGGTCAATTGAGAAAAATAAGCAGCTTATTTTTAATTTTTTTTTTAAGATTTCACTTATTTATTTGAGAGAGGAAACAAGAGAGATAGAGAGCACAAGCAGGGAGGAAGGACAGGGGGAGAGGGAGAAGCAGGCTCCCCAGTGAGCAGGGAGCCCACCAGCAGGGCTGGATCCCAGGACCCTGAGATCATGACCTGAGCAGAAGGTAGACACTTAATGGACTGAGTCACCCATTCACCCCTAACAGTTTATGTTAATACTTAGTTGACCACCCAGGCAGCCAATTAGGAAATAACTGCATAAAACAGTCAAAAGACTGTAAAATTCAGAACTAAAATGATAGCAATAGGGAGGAAATATGATGGGCTTAAGAGCTGCTGAAGGGATAGAACCAATAGGGTTTGATGACTGACTGGTTCACAGAGAAAAAGGAGAGGGAAAAACCATGGATCATGCCTTAATTCAAGCTCAAAAAATGGAGGAAATCCTGATGCCATTTATTAAAATTGGAGACACGGGAGGAAAAGCAGATTTTGGTTGAAGGAGATGTGATGAATTCAGTTTTGCATAATTGAATCACAGGTGTGTCTGTAAGACTTCTGAGTTGTGATGTCCAGTGTATAGTTAAATATAGGGTCTGCAGATCAAGCAAGAAATCTAGTTCTGCAATGTACATCTGAGAATACAGTATTTAAAAAAAACTAAATCATCAATTATGTTTAAAAAAAGTCAAGAAGTCACATAGGATATGGACTGAAACCCACTGGGTTTCCCACAAAACGCTGTTGATGAATATGGCTAGTGGAGTGTTAATGAAATTAAGGAACAGAAGTCTGGAGGAATAAATAGAAAGTGAGGGAATAGAATCCCTTATCCTTTCAATGAGAACAGCCACCTTTTTTTTTTTTTTTTTAATCTCAGGATTAAGAACCAGAATTGCTTCTGTGGTTTCTAAAAAATTTAAAATGAAGTCTTCTACCTTTCTTTCCCATCTAGTAATGCTTAGTTTGACGGTCAGACTGAAATGAATTTTCATGTAGCTTTTAGAGAGTTACAGAATTCAGAATATGTTGTATTCATATCTCTGATACTCTCTGGATAAGACAGTGCTGTGCCTTTGCCTTGTACATAGTAAATGTTCAAATAATATGCCAGCACTTAGTAAATGCTCAAGTAATATAACTGCAGGTATTCCTAAATATCTGAATCGAATCTACTTCTAAAAATGTGTGGGAAAGCAAATTTTTTTGTAGCAAACACAAATATTTTATTTTAAATGGGAAAAATAATAATGCATTCTTCATATAAGCAAGAGCCCCAAACAATTCCCCTAAACATCATCAAAACACTCTTAAACATCTATATGATAATCTACTAAAGATTTATGCATTATAAATCCTTATTTATAGGGATTTATCCTTGATTATTTAACATTTAATACACACTAGTCAGTACATTGGTGTAGATTACAGACAGTATCAGATACAGATTACATTTTCCTTCTACACTGCAATGACTGTGTTCTAATGTAAATACGCAAGAAGATATATAAAAAAAATACTGAATGCGAGTAACAACAAAATAAAATAAGCAAACGAAGGCATTTTTGTTTTAAATGGTTACTTTCAAATGAGAGTCAGTATGATATGGGAGACCATTTCACTTGATAATGCATAACTCCTCCAAACAAGGCAAATGCAAAGCAATTCCTTATTCAAAGAATATCAGAGATATGAATGCGATATATTCTGCATTCTCCTATTAACACTCTGAAAGTTACATGGAAATTAATTTCAGTCTCAGCTTCCAATTCCAAACTTGGGGTAAATGTTTGTAAAAGTTGCTGTTACCATTTCTAGTGTTACTTGGACCTGTGCTGTGACTCAAGGTTGCTTTTGTTATGGCACATGTGCAAAGCAGAGCAGTGGTTCTCAACTGGTTTTCATAAGATAGAGGTCAGGGATGCTGTAAAACATCCCACAATGCACAAAACAGACCCTCCTAACAGTACAAGCTAGCACAAAATGTTAATAGTATTGAGGTGGGGAAGCCCTGAAGGAGAGAAAGACCAGAATCAAACCAATATTTCAGAGGAAACCTCAATTAAAATAAGGAAGAGATTGAATATTGCAAAATCAAAAGTTAGAATGAATTGATGTTATTAGCTTAGGGAACCAAAAAGCAGATCTCTTCATCAACAGCACCAATAAATCTAAGAAAAGGAGCTACTTTGGGAGGGACTATGAGAAAAAATATTAAGTTTAGTTTTTACTATGTTATACTTCAGGTATGGGTGAAACATCCAAATGCATGGAATAATTTTAAATAATAAACCTTCATACAAGAGGTTTTGTCTAAGTTTTGTAGTTATTTTTTAAAGCATTTAGATAGTCTTCAGGTTACACGTCAACTCACACATCTAAGCTCTAACTCTGTGCCATATATCATACTTTTTTCACATGCAAGCTCAACGTCCAAGAAGTTGCTGGAGAATGATATTACCACCCCATTTAACGGATGACAGAGATGAGGCTTAGAATGGCTAAGTAACCAAGGTGATACAGCTACAAGATCATTATACTAAGATTTAAACCAATGTCTTCTAAGTCCTAAGCTTTTTGCTAAAATAATTTTCTTTTTGTACTCATGCATGCTCCAATTATTTCAGACAATCCCCTACAACCACATCTTCACGGAGCTTAATAAGTAACTTCCCCCAGCTACACACACACTCACGTACACATACGCTTTTAAATACATTTTTTTGTTGTCCTTATAATCTATGTCAGTGTAGAAGTTTGGAAAATATAAAGCACAAGTCAAGAGGATAAAAATCATCATTACTTCTATCACTTGGAAATTATCTACTAATTATCTACTAATAAACAACTTTTAGGTAATGATTTGAATTTTTACTGTTTTTCTCTGCTGATGGTTTTGCTGATATGCAGTGATATTTCTAAAATTAGTCATGAAGAATTAGAAAGAGGAGATAAAGGGAAAGATGGTACACAAGCTAGAGAATTAGCTCTCAAATTTAAAAAGAAGAACCTTGGGTGAGGTGGAGGTGGGGAGAAAACATGGGGAGGGTAATTTCTAGAGGCTCTCTCTGCCCAAGGAGTTCTAGGGACTTAATAAGCCTTAGTTCATCTGTCATCTCTATGCTCCATTAATGACAAGATTAAATGGAAGCTACACATTCCAGAGTGCTTATCATTTGCAGACTCAGTACTAAGAGCTTTACTCACATTATCTCATTCTATCCCCGCAGCAACTTCGAGTAGGATATTATTTCCAACTTAGAGAAGAAACTTAGGCTTAAAGAGGTTTTAAAAACTTGCCGAGTTCCAAATCTAGTAAGAGGGGAAGCAAAAATTCAAAAGCAAATTGGGCCACAGAGGCAGTGTTCCTCCTCTTTGCTATGGTGTCTCCTCTCACTGCACACAATCAGGTGTGGCAAAGTGCCTAATTCAAGCAAGCAAGAGCAGAGCATAGAATACTGTCTCAAGGTTTCTAGCTTCAGACTTCCCTTTCTTTTCTCTTTGTAGAAATAGGTTGACACATGCCTTCTGGGATTATGGTTTGAAGATTCTGTCACCAGATGTTTTACATTTGATTCCACTGGAAAAATACCGTGTGATAAGTAACTTGCATGAGAAGATTAGTATGCGCCCGACACAAGACTTCGCTGAATGAAGGGTCAGAAGAAAGGAACTCTACCAAAATGGAGGTCCCTTCTCTGGAGTAACTTTAACAACAAGTTGAGCAAGACTCCTACCAAAGTTTACCACTTATTTATCTAGAGTAGCTGTATTTTAACAGGTAGATGTTGGCTGACTAAAATTATTATTACCTGCTACTTTTCTTGAGGTCAGTCTACTGCTCGTGTAAAAGAGATTAATATCAGGTTAAAAATGTGGAATTATCACATTTTGTTCACATTTAAAATGAGTAAGCACAATTTCCCTGGTTTTGACAAACATTTGAAAAATGTAGTCTTTGGTTTTTAGCTTTAGCCTGTAGGATGGAGCAGTTGTAAAAAAGGAAAGACCTTAAGTGAGTAGTATTTTGGATACATTATTTTAAGCTAGCTCTCTACCTTGGGTATATTCTACGGTCTGTGGAAACATGTTCTTCCTGTGAAGCTCAATGTAGATCACTGGTTTTACATGAAGGCCTATATTAGTCACTTACAGACATTTTTACACATAATTGTTGGGCAATAGTGTGTGTTTATTTTATGATAAATGTTTCAAAGCTACTGTTCTCTGGAGTTCTCACATAAAGGAAAATATTTATCTCATTGGAATTTTAACCACACTACAATTAAAATGAAATGCAATCGACAAAATATTAATGCAGGTATGTCTGAAGATCAACTACTTAATGGTTAGGTCCCTATCTATCATTCTCTGGCTTTCTGAAGGTCAATATATAGCAAAGCCAATGAATTAACCTGCAAGTCAGAAACATAGTATCTGTGTAACTGTGGGTCTATTATTAATTGCTTAATAAAGTGCATGACTTGTTGATGAGAGTTTATGCTGCCTGTTCTTTTTAAAATTCAAGCCTAATTCAAGCAAGCTTATGCCAGGCTGAGTTGTTACTTTAAAATCTCAGACAACTGAAGATTATTTTTGATGCTAGATATCACTGTTAACACTACAGGAAGTAGATACAATCATAGGATGGGAAGGCAAGAAATGGATATATAGTCTCTTCTCAACTTTTCTTTTAGAGAAGGGGACACTGAAAATCAGTGAAGACAACAGAGTTGCTCAATGTCACATAGTTAGTAGTAAAGCTGACCCAGAACTCAGGTCTCCTATTTCCCAGGCCACTGCTATCCAAGACACCAAGCCACTGAATTTCAAGATTCCAACTCAGGGCCTGGTTTTGCAGATACCGCAGGTAATTAGCCTTGCAACTTGTGAGTCTGGCCTTTTGTTTTCTGTGTTGTTTTCTATGCAAAGTGAAGTAGGAATTAAGTAGGTAAGGCATAACGGAGGAGCAGAAGCTTGCACTAACTGGAAATTGTAGCTCATAGTGGCAGGTGCCATGGAAATTTTTTAAGGCTACGTTTGGTGAGGATGAGCCACCTATCTCCCACTCAGCAGTGAATGTCTGAAATAACTAGCACCAACTTTAATCTTACAACAAGTACTACCTGTGGGTTCCAGGCAGAAGGATGGAACTCTGTGCAGTCTCTGCCAAGTAAAATGGACGACTGAAAAATAATGATACTTCAATTGCCATTATGGTTTTTATGTTGGCAGTAGAAGTCAAAAAATAACAATGAATTTTCCCACTAATTTTCCACTGCCACTTTCTATGTGAGTCAGCTTTAATTATTCTTTTGCATAGTGCTGGATAACAAAATGATTCAAAGCTTTGGTAACAACTCTATCAGCACTCTACAAAGGAGAAAAGAAAGTTCTTGAACTAAGGTTTCACTCTAATTATACAAGACTGTAGCAACACACACACACACACACAAATTATAAACAGAAATGGCTATTCATTTCAGTTTTTAAAAGATTTACTTTGGGGCGCCTGGGTGGCTCAAGTGGGTTAAGCCTCTGCCTTGGGCTTAGGTCATGATCTCAGGGTCCTGGGATCAATGGGCTCTCTGCTCGGCAGGGAGCCTGCTTCCCCCTCTCTCCCTGCCTGCCTCTCTGACTACTTGTGATCTCTGTCTGTCAAATAAATAAATAAAGTCTTTAAAAATTAAGTAAATAAATAATAAAACATTTACTTTCATCATGCAAATGGTCACTGGGCAGTTAGAAGTTAAAGATAATTAAGTTTGGCAATATTACCCAAATTACATCAATTATTTTATCAAAATAGAGCTACTTTGTCAAACTGATGCCAGAATTTGACTTTCAGCTCTGCCAAAAAAAGTTTCAACTGGCTTAACATTTCTCCATTTGATTGTTAAAGGTCTTTGGCAACAATCAAATCAGATTGGCCAGCTGAATCCTAATTCCTGGTCTTATTCACACTTCCTCATTACCTTTTCATGTCTGAACAAGTTAGCCAGAGTTATGGAGTAGAGAGGAGTCAGCTCTTCCTACAAGATGTTTGTGTATCAGCTTTCCAAAGCACCAGAAGAGAAAAATACTTCTGTGTCTTTTGCGTGTCTGTAAATTGAAATGACTGGTTTGCAGTATAATAAAGTTACAGCTGACATAAGTCTTGGAAATATTCAACCCCATGTTTCCCAGGTTGAGGGACGTGTACACACCATTGGTGTGTACAAGATCATTTTAGGAGGCATACCGATATCCAATAACACAGTAAGGAAATTTGTATCATTTCAGGCTTTTTGAACCTTGCAATTATATCAGGAAGAAAGTCTCAGGCTGGTGCTGACAAAGAACTCTCTAACACTTTTTTCTTGCTTTTTAAGAAATAGAAAGCAAGCCTCAGGCTCAGTCTTCAGCAGACAACTCTTTGGAGCTAGAATTTAATAACACTGTATGGTTTTCATTAAATTGATTTTGTCCATCTATTTATGGCAGGGATACAAATCCACCTTTTAAGATACATTCAGTTAATATTAAAAATTTTTTTAAGTTAATTAAGGACAAAAATTAAGTGAACATTAGTTTGGTGAATATAGCAATGCAAATATTACATAAAGGCTGCAGTCAATGATACAGTAAAAATCACAAAGCTGCTGAGGAGCTGGAGATGGACTCCCTGAACAGATGGGAAACTCAAAGCCTCAACAGGGCAGGACATCCATCAGGACTGCAATCCACAGGCCATTTGCCAAGTGGATGCCACCCGAATCACTTCCAAAAAATTACTAATTTGAATAATTTTCTTTAAAATAGCCTTTTGCCCCATCACTTTGTGAGTAATATACATCAAGTTTGAGTTTGAAAAACAATAAAGGACAGGAGTGATTTGATACAATTATTTCAGAGGAAATGTTAATATTCAGAAAATTAATTTATGAGACATGAGTTAGGAAAGTAGAAAAAAATTCCCCAGTATAAAACTTCTCAAGTTTAAATTACAAACTCGTGTTTTGTTTTTTTTTTCTCTTTTGAAGCTAGTTTGCCTAAGTAAATCAAAATATGTTATCTTTTGTTTTAAATTTACAAGTCCTGAATACTTGGAAACAACAAGACTAATTTTCTAAGCAATGTATATACATTTTAACATGTATAGGCTTTCATTGAAATACAAACCTAAATGCTACTAGAAAAAGGTTTAAATTAAGGGAAATTATGCGTTTTGTACTCTTAAAAATATCATAATTAAACATGCAGTTTGAGAAAAGCAATCTAGAGGTTTTTGTGAAATCCAAAGATTCTTGACAAAGTATTTCTGTGAAGTCTGAGAGGGATGGAGGAGCAACTCCCTTTTACTGACAGAGATTCATGGCCTCTTAAGGTAGTGGCCACTCCAGCTGAGTAGACATTCTGGAGGACAAGGAACAAAATTTGAGAAAGACAGAATGGTCACTGAATTACTGACTTCTAAAAATAAATAAACAAAAACTTTCCTCTTACCATCTTGTCCACTTATTATCTCTGAACTGAAGCCTATTTTACCATTGGGGAAGTGGAAGAAGAGAGTTAATGGGTAGCAGGATCAAGCTAGTTAATCTTTTGTAGGTTAAAATCTATGCTGTATATGGAAAAAGGTGAAACAGAGTAAGGTATTTAATATAGTTAAGAATTTTAGCCAGGTGAGAACTAATTCCTTAACTTTGCTCTGCCTCAGTTTCCTTTATTCAAACATTGGGACTAACAGGCATCTGTGTTATTGGGTTGGCTAAAGAAATAACTAACATTTATTAATGAACTAGAAAGACCTAGGGCTAAGATGGGAAATAATTAAACTGATTCTCTTAATGCCTCAATAACATTCAGGTTGTAAATGAGGGAAAAAGAAATTCACTACCTTTTCTAAGTAACTAATACTCTCCCATATCAAGGATTCCCATTTTCAGACCCACTCTCTGGGCCTAACATTTTCATTCTTGATGCGGAGAGCCCAGCTGAAGAGCCTTCAGAGAACTTTCAGCTTCTGGGGAATTCCAAGGTATATGTCCCACCGCCACTCCATGCACAGCACAGAATTTGTGTAAGGGAGTTGCTGGGTATAAATCACCAGGGAAGGAAGGTGCTGCTGCATCCTCTTTGATTTTCTTCTAAGAATTTGTGAGCAGACTCAGTTTTCTTTTCTTTTCTTTCTTTCTTTTTTTTTTTTTTTTTTTTGCAGACTCATTTCTGATGCCGAGTATCTGAGCAGAGCAAAAATGATCCCATTTAAATCTGGGGATCACTTGTGAACCATTCTCACAAAGGTCTGGAACTCATCATTACAGCCCCTTGACTCACTCATGAGACTACCATGCACGACATGGTGCCAGGAGCATTATGTCCTGATGCCAGGAACACCCCACACCATTCAGACTCATGTCAGGTACCCACTCATTATAAACCACTTTCCTGCAATCTCCCCTGAAAAGGGGACTGAAGATAGACTAAAAGCAACACTACGTGTGAAGATTTCACAACATCTCTTTAAGCAATCTAGGTCAGTGTGAGTCAGTTTAGTTTATGTGACCCACAAACGATTTCTATGACTTTGTTCTTACTTACCAGTTTCAATTGTTCTGTACACCCTGAAAATCTCATTTCATCAGTGAGAAATCAGACACTAAGAGCTACTTACTTACCAATACCAAGTCATCCCATAGCTGGGTCATAATTGGAATCTACTCCAACACTCAGCCTCCCATTCAAATGTTTCTTCTTCAGTGCAATTCCCAGCAGCGTTCTCCAGGTTTCCCCTGTCCAGGTGAGTTCAGAAAAGATTGTTAACCCAAATCTATCTGTCCTCATCATTTACAAAGGATGTTACAATGGCCCCATTTACAAACCAGGGCACTGAGTCTCAGGGAGACCAAAGGACATGCCCTAGCTCACAGAGAAGCTCCTTAATCAGCTGTATAAGGTATCAATTCTTTTCAGCTTAAAAAAAAAAAAAATCACTTATCCTTGCTTGCAGGGTTTCTGACCCAGGGGTTTCCAGTTTTGCATGCCAATCCTCCTTAGCTGGCCTACTTCTTGGTTCTTCTACTCAGCAAATATGAGTCATATGATTCAGCTGAATTGAAGTCACCTGGCAGATTTTTTCCACTCTCATCAATAGCACACATACCAATTGCCCTTTAACCAATCACAGAAGAATTTTCTTTTTCTTTATTATCTTATAAGCACTTAAAGAGAGCTTTAAATAATTCTTCAAAGGAAGCCACTATCATTTGCAGCTTTAATAATCCATTTATAAAAAAATTAAAAATTTGTAGTGAGACATTATAAACTGAACACATTTTTTGATCCTTTGGTTTCATCCTATTTGCTTGAGGAAATGACCAGGAGCTTAAAATCTGTTCTAATGTTGACAACCTCAGATATATAATCATCAAGGAAAAAAAAAAGAACTTGGAATTGTTGGAATTTGGTTTTACCAAGACAGATGCCTCCATCTTGTACAGTTTTTTTCCTTCTTTTTTAGTAGTACAAGCAGATAATTATAATAAAATAGCCCAGAACCATGAGAATTAAAATAGCCTGAATATTAATGTGTTTGATTTTCGTCCACTTTGCAAGGTCAGAGATGTGGTCTATCCACACAAGGTCCAAGGAGTAATTTTTCTTTCTTTCATTCTTCCTTAAAAAGTAATTTTGTTAACAATAATAATAATAATAATAATAAATTTCAGGTGACTTTCTTTTTTATGGCTTAATTCTACATTCCATTCTAGGAAGAAGGAATTGAAATCTCTGAGAGGTGGTTTCATTCATTAATTATTTATTTACATTCAACATAATGTTTGCTGAATATCTACTATGTACTACTTAGACACTCTCTTCA